ATGGGCATACTGCCCAAAGCAATTTACAGATTCAATACTATTCCTACCAAACTACCAATGACATTCTTCACAGAACTAGAAAAAAATTACTTTAAAATTCATATGGAACCCCAAAGAGCCCAAATAGCCATGGCAATCCTAAGCAAAAAAAGTAAAGCAGGAGGCATCATTCTCCCCAATGTCAAACTATACTACAGGGCTACAGTATAGTCGTGGTACAAAAGCAGACATATAGACTAACAGAACAGAACAGAGAGCTCAGAAACAAGGCTGCACACCTGTAACCATGTGATCTTTGATAAAGTTGACAAAAACAAGCAAAAGGACTCCCTGTTCAATAAGTAGTGCTGGGGATACCCTTATGCAGAAGATTGAAACCGGACCCCTTCCTTAAGCTACGCAATAAGGAGTTGCTATGCTATGCAACTCATATCAAAATATATGAGTTGATTTTGATATATACAAAAATCAACTCAAGATGGATTAAAGACTTAAGTATAAAACCCAACACTAAAAAAATCCTAGAAGACAACCAAAGCAATACCATTCTGGACATAGGAATGGGCAAATATTTCATGATGAAAACATCAAAAGCAACTGCAACAGAAGCAAAAGTTGACAGATGGAATCTAATTAAACTAAAGAGCTTCTGCACAGCAAAAGATACTATCAACAGAGTAAACAGACAACCTATAGAATGGGAGAAAATATCTACAAACTATGTATCTGACATAGGTCTAATATCCAGCATCTAGAAGGAACTTAAATTTACAAGAAAAAAACAAACAACCCCATTAAAAAATTGACAAAGGACATGAACAGTTTTCAAAAGAAGACATACATATGGTCAACAAGCATATGAATAAAAGGTCAATATTAACGATCATTAGAGAAAGGCAAATCAAAACCACAATGAGATAGCATCTCACACAGTCAGATGGCTATTATTAAACATCAAAAAATAACAGATGCTGACAAGGTTGCAGAGAAAAGGGAATGCTTATACACTGTTGGTGGGAAGGCAAAAACCATTGTGGAAAGCAGTGTGGTGACTCCTCAAAGAGCTGAAAACAGAACTACCATTCAGCCCCAATCTATTAATGGTTATACACCCAAAGGAATATAAAGTGTTCTGCCATCAAGTCACATGCTAATAGCAGCAGTGTTCACAATAGCCAAGGCATAGAATCAACAGAAATGCCCATTAATGGTAGACTGGATAAGGAAAATGTGGTATATATACACCATAGAATACTATGCAGCCAGAAAGAAGAATGAAATCATGTCCTTTGCAGCAAGATCAATGGAGCTGGAGGCCATTATACTTAGCAAACTAATGCAGGAACAGAAAACGAAATACTGCATACTCTTACTTATAAGTGGGAGCTAAATGATGAGAACACATGGATACAAAGAGGGGTACAACAGACATCGAGGCCTACCTGAGGATGGAGGGTGGGAGGAAGGAGAGAATCAGAAAAAATAACTAATGGGCACTAAGCTTATTACCTGGGTCATGAAATAATCTGTACAACAATCCTATGTGACACGAGTTTACTTATATAACAAACCTGCACATGTGCCCCTGAACCTAAAATAACAATTAAAAAAAAGATATGTAGAAAACATTCATAATACTATTATTCACAATAAGTCAAACACTGAAAAATATTCAAATCCCCATAATAGATATGTTTATTGCAAAATATTCACACAACAAAAAAAGAAAAAAAGAAAAGAAAAAGGCTGGGCGCAGTGGCTCACGCCTGTAATTCCAGCACTTTGGGAGGCGGAGGCAGGCAGATCACCTGCGGTCAGTAGTTTAGGACCAGCCTGACCAACACGTGAAACCCCATCTCTATTAAAAAAATATACATATATAGATATAAAAAAAATCCACACAACATAATACCACACATTAATGAGAATGAATGATCTACAACAGACAACAATAAACATAAAATTAATGTTAAGATGCTGAAGGAGCCAGACAGAAAAAAGCACATTTTGTATGATTCAGGAAATTTTGCTCTATTCTTTCAATATATTTGGGCTGGATAAGAAAATCAACATGCCGGGCGTGGTGGCTCACGCCTGTAATCCTAGCACTTTGGGAGGTCAAGGCAGGTGGATCACAAGGTCAAGAGATTGAGACCATCCTGGCCAACATGGTGAAATCCCGTCTATAAAAAAAAGAAAATCAACATGCCAGTTCCTTTTATTTGAAGGTACTTAGTGTACTCTTACTTTACCTGCAGGTTAACCTCAGGAAAACATCCATCCTAAACCCTTGAAAAGTGATTCACTACACATAGTAACAAAGCTAATGCCAAGTCTAACGAACAGGGAGCTGGGTGCAAGACAGGACATATACTCGGGCCACAGTGCCAGATCTAAACCATTAACTCTAGATGGTGACCTTAGGTAATCACCATACCTCACAAATGCTTTTTCTTCTTCCTAGGTGTACTGGTCAGTAGTGTGGGCTGTGGAGACAGAACAGGGACAAGCCCTAGTTCTGCCACATAAAGACTGAGTGACTTTGAATACTTTAACTTTACCTTATAGTCACTCAATTGTTAGATCTGTAAAACTGGCATTATACACAACATAACATAGAAGACAAAACGTTTTAAAAATACATTAACTTGTGTTTTCATTTTTAAAAAGAGAAATGGTGAGCAATCACATCATTTAAAAAATTCTACTACAGAGACACTGGGGAAAAAAGCTTATTAGTCTTATAATTGAATCATATTCATCTACCAACACGTTTTTAAAATCACTAATTTTTATTATAACTAATGTTAGTTATAACAAAACTAAGTAAGTAACTTGGGAATATCTCAAAGCACTTGGAAGGACGGATCTCAGAAAATGGCACCGCCATTTCTCTACATGGGCAAACAAAAAGCCCAGGAGTTCTCCACAATTCTCCTTTATCTTCATACACCCCAGGAACACAGCCACTGCAGGTCCTACCTGCCCGACCTGCAAACACGCTCTGACCAGGTCCACCCCTCCCTCTGCACATAGCTGCAGCCCTGGCCTCATCCATACGCATCCCTCTCCAGGACTTCTGTAATATTTTCCTAATAGTTATCCCCACTCCCTACCTCGTCCCTCTCCAGCCTGTTCTCCACACAGCAGCCAGAGTCAGCTTCTGACATCAAGAATCAGGTCACATCACTCCCATATTCTAACCCTCCATGCTCAGAATAAAACCCAAACTGCTTACAGGACCCAAACCATGTGGCTCTTGTCTACCCCTTTTGATCTCATCTCCCACCTGTCCGCACTTATGTCCCAGGCTCCAGCCACTTCCGCTTGTCCTCTGCTCCTGGATCAATGGTTCCCACATATAGCACAAGGACACTGACAAAATGGTCTCTCCATGCCTGGCTTCTTCTTAATCGTTCAGGACTCAGCTCAAGTGTCCCTTCCTGAGAAAGAGCTTCACTGACAACCCCATCTATAATAATCCCTGTCTCAGTCACTTTCTACTCTGTTTATTTTCTTCAAAACAAACATTCTCATATGAAATCACATAGTTTATTGATTTGTTTATCTGCTTACTGCCACTTTTCCCAATCTAGAATGATAGCTCCAGGGACCCTACCTGTCTTATTCTCTGTGCTACTTCCTCAGTGCTTATGTTAGTACTTCATATATAAACACTGAAATATTACTTAATTGAAGGAATTGTTGTCTATTTGACAGACCTACAAAAACGGATATTTAAGCTGAGTAGCAGGAGCAACTAACAATGAAATTAGATATTAAATGATTCAAAACTATAAGATCTTCTTGTACATCCATAGCAGTGATTTTCAAACATGGGTGATGTTATGGTGTGAATATCTGTGACCCCTCCCTCTCAAATTCATGTTAAAACCTAATGCCAAGGTGATGGTATTAGAAGGTAAGGCTATGAGAGGGTTTTTAGGTCATTAGGGCTCTGTCCTCATAACTGAGATTTGTGCTCTTATCAAAGAGACTCCAGAGAGCTAGCTAGCCCCTTCCACCAAGGGAGATTATTTTTTTTAATTTAAATTTCTTTCCAATAATGGGTATAAGCAACACCAAGGGAGATTATAATGAGAAAATATCCATCTATGAAGGAAGTGGGCCATCACCAAACACTGAAGGTGCCAGTGCCTTAACTTTGGATTTCTTGGCCTCCAGAATGGTGAGAAATAAATTTCTGTTGTTTATCAGCTGCCAAGTTATGATATTTTCTAACAGTAGCTCAGAATGCACTAAGACAGATGAGTACCGGACCAACTGAAGCTATTACTTTAAATGAAGACAACTCCCATCCCCCATCCCACTTCTCTGGTTTTGATTCAGCAGATCTAGGGTAGGTCCAAGTATCTGCTATTGTAACAAGCACCTTCTGATGAATTTGATGAAGTATCCATAGACCACACTTGGAAAAATCCTGACCTCAACAGTTCACATTTGGCCAATCGTGGTGGCTCACGCCTGTAATCCCAGCACTTTGGGAGGCCAAGGAAGGCAGATCACTTGAGGTCAGGAGTTCAAGACCAGCCTGGCCAAAATGGTGAAACCCTGTCTCTACTAAAAATTCAAAAATTAGCTAGGCATGGTGGTGGGTGCCTATAATCCCAGCTACTTAGGATACTGAGGCAAGAGAATTGCTTGAACCAGGAGGCAGAGGTTGCAGTGAGCTGAGATCATGCCACTGCACTCCAGCCTGGGTGACAGAGCGAGACTCCATCTGAAAAAACAAAAACAAAACCAAAAACAGTTCACACTTGAGTACAATTAATTTAATGCCTAACATGCAGAGTTCCAGGACATCTGGAATATATCTATTAATGTAATTACTCAAATGTACACTACTTTTCTAAGGAGGAGGGAAGATTGCTTTCCCACATGAGATCACACTTAAACTCCAGAGTATTCCTGGTGGTCAGGAGGATTGGGTATTTTTATCCTGTTGTATAGACTAATCTGAAGGAAGGGAAGCGACTTACCTACAGTGTCCCCATGATGGGATCTGAATCTCTTGAGTTTTGCCTCAGTAGCCTCTCTAGCAGATACAACACCACACTTCGTTCGTCTCTACAAACTACTGGTTTTGTGCTGCAGAGTCAACACCCTTGTCTGACGTTACACTAGATGGGAGAGAGAAAGACAAGAAAGCACGTGGAATGAGGAGGAAAGTAAGAGGATGAAAAAAACATGAAAAACAGAGGATGGGGTGATGATGTCTGCCCTATCCCCCTACTCAGTTACTTTGAAGCTGTGCAATGATGTTTTTCCTCATCCTCAGCTTCATCCCACAACCCTCTCCCACATACAGAGTGACAGTGAAGTTGTCATCTAGTGGAAATGTAGGCTTATCCCTGCTTGCTATTACATGTCCAAGTATTCTCTCTGTAGTCATGCTATTACATTAATATATGATGTGAAAATCACAATCTGTAAGTGAACAAATCAATAAATCGGGCTTCCTCAAAGTAAAAACCTTCTGCTTTTCCAAATATATGGACAAGAAAATGAAAATACAAGTCCCTGACTAGGAGGAAGTATTTAAAATCTTGTATCTGATGTAGGACTTAAATTTAGAATATAGAAAATATCACAAAAGTCAGAGGAAAACAGACACTTCAGTAAATAAGTGGGCAAAATATTTGAATAGACATTCCACTAAAGATGATATATATACAAATGTCAAAAAAGGACATGAAAAGATACTCAACAACATTAATCATTAGGAAAATGTAAATGAAAGTACAATGAGACACTACTATATTCTCATAAGAATGGCCAAAATTAAAGAGACTAAAATCTAGCACTGGCAAGATTGGGGAGGATAAAACTCTTGTACACTGCTGGTGACAGTTTCCACCACTTTGGAAACAGCTTAGCAGTTTCTTACAGTGTTAATCTTATATCTACCATATATCCAGTCATTGCACTCCTAAATATGTACCCCAAAGAATGCATATGTCTATGAAAAGACTTATTTGCAAATGTTCATATCAGCTTTATTTATCAGTGTCCCAAATTAGAAACAACCCAAATATCCATCAACAGGTGAATGGATAAAACAAATAGTGATATAGCCATATACTGGAATAATAGCAATAACAAAGAATAAATTATTGATATATGCAACAAAATGGATAAATCTAAAATTAAATAGGGTGAATGAAAAATGCCAGATTCCTCTTTTAAAAACCTCTCTATGATTCTACTTAAATACATTTCTAGGACATTATAAAACCAATATAGTGATAGAAATGTGTTTACCTGGAGATAGGGTGGTAGAAAAGGTAGGGAGCCCAGGTACTATAGAACTGAAAATGTTATTTCCTGGGAAATAATAATAATACTTAGGCATATTTGGTTATTTTAGGAGGTGTGACTGGGTATCGTTATAATTGGGCAAACTACAAAGTGATTGTTTTTTTAAAAATACTAAATTCTTGTATCTGACATTTAACTAACACTTAATAAACTCTTGGCCTCTTAATTACATTGCAGAATGGATGAAAACATGCCAACCATGAAAGCATGCGTATTACAATCTCAAATTACTATGAACCAATTACATATTTCAACTCCCATCTGAGATACATGGGAATCATGAATTATTATTTATACAGTCAGAAAACTATGTGTAAATTTATTGCAAATGCATGTTAACTATCAAGTTCCTTCCTCAACTGAACAATTCATTGCTTTAAAAATGGTATCGCCAGATGGGCCTGAAGGGATACTACAAAGCATGTAGCTGCTGATGAATGCAATGAAGTCCACCTGTTGAGCCTTTTCTCCAATGGAGACCAAAGTGGCTGCTCTACTTTTAGACTACTTTGTGAACTACACAGGTACTATTCTATAATGCAGTTCTGTTCAGATCTATGAACTCACTTGAGCTAGGCATCATATCCCACCAAGGATGGAACTGCTAGGGCTCTCCTGAGGACTGCTGTCCTTCAAGTCTGAAGTAGAAGCTTCAGCAGCCATCATGACCCATATCATCAGAACCCACCTCCTTCAGACACCTGATATAAGTTTAGTTGTCCCCATGAAGTGCTTCCTGGGGAGAGTCAGACTCCAGCAATTACTATGCTTTATTGAAGTGACTCTGTGCCTGCAACCATGCTGGCACTGAGTTAGTGACCAATGACACTGATACAATTGGGTAGTGATCATATGAGTTTCTCACCAGGGCCTTTTTTTCTCCTTTCCATATATCACCTAATAACAACTTGAAAAAAGAATGAGGAAATGTCCTGGGCCCTTGGTAGAGGAAGACAACTACTACCAACCTGTAGGCCAACAACAAGGAATCTGGCAAAGGGGACACATACTCCATCTTTCCCTCACTCACTTGCTAGTATCTCCTATTGGCCAAATTCAACTAGAAGCCTGAGGAGAAGGGATCTGAGTTGATGCTGTCTATAAGGATCAGACCTCTGGAGCACAGAGTAGGGTGATGAGGAGTGGAGTGTAGATCTGAAGGGACAAATTGAGGCTATCCAGCACAGTATCTAACATACAACTATGCTGTAGGCTAAATAATACTCCTCTGCCCCAAAGAAATCCATGTCCTAATCTCTGGAGCAAGTGAATGTTACTTTACATGGTAAAATGGACTTTACAGATGTGATTAAGTTAATGATCTTAAAATGGTGAGGTAATTCTGGATCATCTGGGTAAGTCTGATATAATTACAAGGGTCTTTATAAGGAAAACAAGGAGGCAATAAAATCAGAGAAGTAGATGTGACCACAATATGGAGGTCAGAGTAATGTGAGGGCATAAGCCAAGGAATGCAAGCAGCCTCTAGAAGCTAAAAAAAAGCAAAAACGAAATCTACACTAGAAATTCCAGAAGGAACATAGCCCTGTTGACACCTTAGTTTTAACCCAGTGAGACCTACTTTGGACTTCTGAACTCCAAAACTGTAAAATAATAAATTTGTGTTGTTTTCAAAAACTAAAAGAATAAGAAGTAGGCTGAATCCATAAAGCACCCATCGTCCCATAACAACCACAGGGCTATCTATCATCTTGCACCTGTGTTATCACTGCAGGTGGCAGCAATCCTGTGGGTGAGCATTCTTATTCTCATTTTACATAAGGGGACGCTGGGCTAAGAGAGTCCTTACCTGTCTCATCCTCCCACGTCCCGCCTTTACATAGAAAGTAGCCCCAGGACACCCGGAGCAAGACACTACATTCATTGGGGCCATGAGGGTCCCAGTTCTCTCTCTCATGAGACAGCCAGGGCAACTTGTGCCAAAGCGGGAACGAGACGACTTGAATCTGGGCTTCTTTCGTCTCTCCACACCCCAGGAAGGTTCAGCCCCCACCGCGGGGCACCCACACCCTCATTTGAGTCCCAAACACCTGAAGGCGGGACCCCGCTCTTTTTGCCCGGCCATGTTTGTCTCTATTTTAAGTCTTCACGGTCGCCGCAATGACGTCAGGTTCCTATGGCAACCGCGATACGTAGGCTGGTCCAGCACACCGGAAATGCCAGAGCGTGGCCTTTCAACCCCTTGCCTTTCACTAAGAGAAAACGCCTTCGCTCTTTAGGCTGCATCCTGAGTAGGCACGGTAATTAGAGGAATCAGGCTGGAAAGGAGCCAATTGATAGAATTCTGCCAGGTTCGAAGGAAAAATGTACCGGTTGTCAGTAGTTTTGTTTAAAGTGACAGTAGAGGAGTATCACCTATACACAGAGACCTGGGGCTCTTGGAGATCAGCTAGCTCTCTGAGGAGGAGTATGTATGTACAGCTCACACACCATACTAAGTAGTTATCCATCTGTGGCATAAAACTAAGAGTGTCTACAATCATATGGCTAAAAGATCTAGAAGCACCAAAATATGTCATTTCAGATATCTTGGAGTTATTTAAGTAATGCAAGCCTAGAATAATATAGTCATTTGGTAGACAGAAACCTAATCAATTCAACCATACAATGATTTATCTTGAGAAAATTCTTATCCTTCATTCCTGCATGTGGAAGAACATTCATGACCAGAACATTTCTAGACTCACTATGCACTCACTCCTTCTCTGTCACAGAAGGAATTTATCTCATTGGTGAGTTGGGAAGAAGAAACAGGGGATGCACTGCCCATACTCCCTCCCTTCAAAATTCTTGGTAGTAAGCTGCTTTTCAGGGACACTTGTTCTTCCCTGCCCTCAGAGGTTGATCTTATAATAGGCCCACAGTACTATTCCTCTTTCTGTGCCTCACTGACTCAACTATTTCTTTGTATTTCTTCAAATTGCTTGGATTTTTAAACAATTTACCTCCCTGCTTCAAGTCTAAGCTTGAAATCAACTAATAATTAGGTGAAAGAAGAAAAATATACGGACTTTATTCCTTATAAAGAAGGTATTGGAGAAGATGACTTAGATTTGCTGGCATGTGGGCTTCCTATAAAGGATCCACAGAATTGAAAAAGATTTATTGACCAAGTAGTGCCATGCCAGGAAAATCATAAAGGCCAAGGACTGCAATGCATATCAAGCTGCTTTCTGGTGCAGGAGTCGTGTCTATGTGTGCTCATGGAAAGTAGCTTCCTTGCAAGGCTATCCCTGTAGCAGGAGAAAGAGTTTCAACGTCTCTTCTTTCAGAAACACTTCTCAAAATATGTAAATAACCCTTGTTCAGAATGAATACTCACTAAGCCAAAGCCAGTCTCTGAGGCTTTCCTCATGGAGTCATTTGCGACAACACTCTCTCAGTACCTTAATTCATGTGACTGTAATATAGGCTCATCTCATGGAATTAGGCTCTAAATTCAAAGAGTAGGTTGAAAATCATATATTGTTATAGCTTCCCTTGAAAATCCCTTCGAGAAGGAATTGATTAAATGTTCAGAAATTCATACACACATACACACGGAGACTATACTTAAAATTGTTAATATAACAATGTCCCATCAAACCTTCAAGGATAAGATAATCCCTTTGTTATCCAATGATAACAAACTACAGAAAAAGGGGAAAAATTCACCAAAACCATGTTTTAGATAACCATTTCTACTTAACAAATATCCCAAAAACATTTATTATCTCTCAGAAAGCTGAGTGCTGACAGAGCTCAGCAATGTTTTCTGTTTCGTGTGGTGTCTGTTTCACAGGGCTGTAGTCGTATGAAAGCTAGATTCCACTGGGACATCTGAGAGAGAGGACAATTGGTACTAATGCCACCTACAGCTTAGCTGGGGCTGCTTTCTGGAGCATCTTTGTTCAACACAGAGTCTCCATGTGTAGGGTAGCCAGATAAAGTAGAGGACATCCAGTTAAATCTAAATTCCAGATAAAAATGAATAATTTTTTAGTGTAAGTATGATGGTTAATTTTATGCCTCAACTTGACTGGGCCACGATACCCATATATCTCATCAACATTTTTCTGAGTGTTTCTGGAAGGATGTTTTTGGATGAGATTAACATTTAAATCAGTGGACTTTGAATAAAGCAGACTGCCCTCTATAATGTGGGTGGTCTTCATCCAATCACCTGGAAACCTGAATAGAGCGAAAATCTGACATCCCTGAGCAAAAGGGAATACTACTAACAGATAGCCTTCAGACTTGAATTGCAACATTGGATCTGCTTTATTCTCCAGTCGCCAAGCCCACCCTTCTGAGATTGACTTTCAGTCTCCAATAATAATGTGAACCAGTTCCTTAAAAGGAATCTCTCTAGCACACACACACACACACACACACACACACACCCTGCTGGCTCTGTTTCTCTGGATGTGGCTGCAATATTATTTCGTTTATCTGAATTCTGTACTTTTATTTGCTAAATCTGGCAACCCTAAGAGAGGAAACTCTGGATATGTAAGCTTACTGACAGTTTGAAATGACACTTCCAATGGGGCAGGTCTGGAGAAAACAAGCAGTTTGGATTAGCAAAAAAAAAAAAAAAAAGATAAAAGCTATTAGTAACTAGTGTTGGTGAAATAAAGAAGAAACAGACTTATATACACTATTGGTACCACACTGATGTATCCGTTTTCTGAGGCCAGTGTTACTACATCTTAATAACTTGAATGGACTTTGTACAGAAGCCCTATTTTCACCAACAAGGGAGTTCCAGCTGAGGGTTTAGAAAAGGCTCATCAAAGTGACTCTGATGTGCATGCTGGTTAAGGGGTCTTGACTCTAGGGAGGAAAGACAGCTACTATTTCTGCTCTAGGGAGGAAAGATAGCTATTATTTATGGAGCAGACTGTTTAGAGTTACTCAGCTCCTGGTTCTTCACCTCAGTAGTTGGGTTTAATCTCGACAGCCCTGCTAGTGAGGCATCGCTAGCCTTTCTTCATGGATGTAAGTAACTACAAAGCAAGGTCTCCTAACGACAGAGCTGGATGGCAAAGAGGTTTGTCACCACACCCACTGCCAGAGCCAGGGAAAGACCCTGCCAGCCTGGGTACCTTGAGTTGCTGGTGAAAGACCTTCTGTAAATGTGTCAGGACATGTACTGCTGTGAGATTAATTTCTGTTTTCCCATGTTTACCCTCCCTACATAAGGGAACCAGGCTTTGTGCCCCTTCCGCTTGCCTGAGGGGAGGTTTATTGCAGGGCTGGAAGCAGAAGCTGTCTGAAGCCATTATTTCTTCCATCCTCTATGAAACGTTAAGCTTAAAGAAAAGATTGGCCTATCTGCACCTGGTAGGAAGGAAAGGGCCTTTGAGGGCACAGAAAGGAGAACCCCTAGTCTCCTTCAATTTCACCTCTTCCCCCCACCCCTCTTCCAAATGGGAAGGAGGGTGAAGAAGGAAATGAAATAAAATACCAAAGAGCTGGGAAAATGACTCCCTTTTTAGACCCCAGCATCTCTGCTATCTGCTAACTTTGAAAGAGCAGCAAATAAATGTTATCCCTGCCGGCTGGAGCCCAGCACTGGTTCAGGCCCTCATGTCTCCACGGGCCACGCTCCCTCCTGGAAACACTTCTGCCAACAAACAGCTTGTTACTTTTGTCTTGTCTCTGTAAGCCCCCTCTCCTGCTGGTCCCCACTCACACTGCATATGAATTAGCAAATCAATGAAGCCAAGAAGTTGTAAGGTTGGATGCCCAGCAAATGGACAATAACATAGTTCCGCCTCAGTTTCCCCTTTAGTGTTGTAAGCCTATAAAAGGGGAGAGAAGCTACAGCTCGAGGAACTTGGTGAATGAGGCTGTAGCACCCCCGCAGCTGCTTGCAGGAAAAAAAAGCCACTTCCTTCCTCAGTTCGGTGTTTGAGAGGTTTGTTCCCCGCCACTCCTGCTTCATTTGAGGACGCAGAAAGGGGATAGACAAGACTGAGGTCAGAGGTCTGCAAGTCCCTCCAGGAGTAAGGACATGAGCACTGCTGCATATCAACACTTGGAGTGGACTCATGGATGATTCATTGAGGCTGTGCATCCAGCCTTGAAACAGATTTTCTTGTTTGGATGGCAGGATGGATGAAGCAGGGTCAGGGGTCCTGAAGGCACCAAGGGAAATGGTCAGCTCCACCCTGAGCAGTAGGGAAACATGATTGATGATTCTCCCAGGTTGTATCTAAAGGATACACTCCTACCAATGATCACGCTTTGTCAAAGAGCATGACCATTTAATATATTAAATATTTGCTGTCTAGTTGAAAGTTAAAATCTCCTTACTAATAAATATCCCAACCAACTACAAGATTAGAGCACTCGTTTTATTTTAGACTCGTGCAATAATGGGTTTCCCAACTTTATTAACATTTGCTGATGAAATATTCTTTGCTGTAATGTTAGAATATGTTTCATTTTTCTCTATCCATTTCATATAAATGACATATTTCACATGTGCATTTAAAAAAAAATGTCACCTAGGCTGTCACCCAGGCTGGAGTGCAATGGCGTGATCTCTGCTCACTGCAACCTCCGCCTCCCAGGTTCAAGCAATTCTCTTGCCTCAGCCTCTTGAGTAGCTGGGATTACAGGTGCGTGCCACTGTGCCCAACTAATTTTTGTATTTTTAGTAGAGACAGTGTTTCAACATCTTGGCCAGGCTGGTCTCAAACTCCTGACCTCGGCCTCCCAAAGTGCTGGGATTACAGGCATGAGCCACCGTGCCTTGGCCATCACATGGGCATTTTAATTTTTTTATTTTATTTTTTAATGAAGAAGAGAGATTTATTTCTTACGGTTCTGAAGGCTGGGAAGTCTTCCAGCCTCAGATGGAAGATGCAGGGACGACATCTGACCAGGGTCTTCATGTTTCATCCTCCCAAGGCAGAAAGAAGAGGAGGAGGGAAGAGAGAGAGAGAGAGAGAGGAGAGAGAGAGAGAGAGAGAGAGAGAGAGAGAGAGAGAGAGAAAGAGAGAGAGAGAGAGAGAGGTGGGGGTGGGGGTGGGGGGTGGGGGAGAGAGAGATTTGGAGAAGAGGGCTGAACCCATCCTTTTATCAGGAACCCACTTCTGAGACAACTAATCCACTCCTATTGATTTAATGGCACTAATTCATTCCATGGGGGCTCTGCCTATTACCTCTTAAAGGTCTCATCTCTCAACACTTGCTTTGGGGATTAAGTTTTCAAAGCATGAGCTGGGTGGGACACATTCATACCATAGCAAACTCTATTCATAAGATTCATTTCTTGTGGAGTCAGATTTGGTATTCTGCATCTTCCTAGGAATTTCTCCATTTCATTTAAATTATCTAATTTGTTGACATTCAATTGTTCATAGTATTTCTTTTAATAATTATCATTTCTACAAGGTTTATAGTAAAATCTTAACTTTTGTTTCTGATTCTAGTAATTTGAGTCTTTTGGGGGCTTTGTCAATCTAGCTAAACCTTTGCCATTTTGTTAATCTTTTCGAAGAACCAGCTTTTGATTTCATATTTTTTTCTCTATTGCTTTTCTATTCTCTATTTCATTTACTTCTGCTCTAAGCTTTCCTTCTCTCTGGCTTCTTTGGACTGTTATTATCAATTATTGAGAGTGTTGTATGAATATACCACATTATGACTATATATTGGTGACATTTTATTAAGAATTTTAATTTTCAGCAGGGTATGGTGGCTCATGCCTTTAATCCCAGCACTTTGGGAGGCCGAGGTAGGTGGATCATGAGGTCAAGAGATCGAGACCATCATGGCCAACATGGTGAAACCCTGTCTTTACTAAAAATACAAAAATTAGCTGGGCATGGTGGCCCGCACCTGTAGTCCCAGCTACTAGGGCGGTTGAGGTAGGAGGATCGCCCAAACCTGGGAGGCGGAGGTTGCAGTGAGCCAAGATCGCACCACTGCATTCCAGCCTGGCATCAGAGCAAGACTGTCTGAAACAAAAAAATTTTTTTAAATTTTTGTTAAAATTTGCCTCATATATTTTGGGTATATGTTGTTAAGTATATACAAGTTCAGAGTTATTGTATATTTCAAGTTAATTGTTCCTCTGTTGTCGTCTAATATATTTTCTTTCTCTCTCTCTTTTTTTTTTTTTGAGATGGAGTTTTGCTCTTGCTGCCCAGGCTGGAGTGCAATAGTACAAACTTGGCTCACCACAACCTCCGCTTCCTGTGTTCAAGAGATTCTCCTGCCTCAGCCTCCCAAGAAAATGAAATTTTCATTTGGAAAAATTTCATATTTTCAAATGAAATAGGGAATAAAAAAGCAATAGAGAAAAAATTATGGTCAGGCTGGTCTCGAACTCCTGACCTCAGGTGATCTGCCTGCCTCAGCCTTTCAAAGTGCTGGGATTATAGGCCTGAGCCACTGTGCCTGGAGTAATATACTTTATTTCTAAAAACTGTTTTGGCCAGGCAAGGTGACTCACGCCAGTAATCTCAGCCCCTTGGGAGGCTGAGGCAGGAGGACCACCTGAGCTCAGGAGTTTGAGGTCAGCCTGGGCAACATGGCAAACTCCCATCTCCACTAAAAATACAAAACTTAGCCAGGCATGGTGGCAGGTGCCTGTAATTCCAGCTACATGGAAGGCTGAGGTAGGAAAATTACTTGAACCCCAGTGGGTGGAGGTTGCAGGAGCTGAGATTGCACCACTGCACTCCAGCCTGGGTGACATTGTGAGACTGTCTCCAAAAAAAAAAAGAAACAGCCAGGTGTGGTGGTGGGCACCTGTAGTCCTAGCTACTCAGGAGGCTGAGGATCACCTGCGTCCAGGAGATGAAGGCTTTGGTGAGCCATGATCATATCACTGCATTCCAGCCTGGGTGACAGAGTGAGACTTGGTTGCAAAAAAATAAATAAAGTGGATAACTCCCAAAACCGCTGTCCTACTTTTAGAAAATCCAAGATAGCTTTGGGAAGGGAATTCTGTAGTCTCACTGGCCATGTAAGGGATTAGAAAGGCTTCTCAGGGAGAATTGTGGGTCTGATCGCATACTTCTGAGCTATATTTGGAAAACTCTTTTCACAACATTTCCATGGAAATCAGAGACACAGACCCAGATGTTTGGGTTAAACCAGACAATGGAAAAAAAAAAAAGTAATGTACAAGAGGCAAGACCTCTTTGTTTTTTAAAAAATTGTTTTAAATTAAAAAATATTTTTTTTTTGAGACAGGGTTTCACCATGTTGGCCAGGCTGGCCTCGAACTCCTGACCTTAGGTGAACCGCCCACCTCGGCCTCCCAAAGTGCTGGGGCTACAGAAGTGAGCCACTGCACCCCGCCGTTTTTCTTTCTTTTTTGCTTTTTTATTTAAAAAAAATTTTTTTAAAGACCTCTTTTCTAGGCCAGGCACGGTGGGTCACACCTGTAATCCTAGCACTTTGGGAGGCCGAGGTGGGTGGATCACCTGAGGTCAGGAGTTCAAGATGGGGTGAAACCCCATCTTTAAAAAAAAAAAGAAAAGACCTCTTTTCTAAATGGTCTATGTTTATTAGTACGCTGATCAGAGAAATCCAAAGGCTACCATATTGGAGGTTTTCTAGAATTCTAGGCTGTCTGTTAGACTGTAGGCTTCAAAGCCTTGGCTTGTCATACTGGGCCAGGTTTGTATGGGAGATAGACCTACAGCTGGACCAGCAAAGATACTGAGAGAGGAACCCTGTCCTCCTACCTGGTGCTTTGTGGGTAAGAGATACTGATACAGACAGTAGAAAGAAGAGCTGGATATCTCATTCTCATCAGGAAGATCATACAGTTCTATGACTTGGGATATGTCATAGGCATCAGAGTGCAAAGCAGGAACTGAGGCTACCAGCTTCTTCCACTGAGTATCTTGCATTTGGAAATCACTTGTGGGACTCTCAGTGAAGGTAGAGTTCCATGCCCAATTGGAAGGGCCTAAGGGCTGAGGTGGAAGGGAGCTGCAGAAATCCGAAACCACAGAAGAAAAAGCATAAGAATGATAGCTGTTCTTAGGAAGGTGGGCACATCCTTCTTGGATAGAAGGATCTGGTTGGTAGCATTGTTGATTGCTGCTGCTGCTGCTTTTTCTGTTCGAATCGCCGGTTCCTGAACCAAACCTTTACTGTTGACTCCGGTAGGTCGAGTTGCAAAGCTAGTTTCTCCTGACGATTTCTATCTGGGAACCTGGTCTCGCTAAACAGAGCTTCTAGCTCTTCATACTGTTCGCGGGTGAATGAAGTACGTTCTTGATGCCTTCTCCATGTTGCTGTAGTCCCAGTTGCTTGGGAGGCTGAGGTGGGAGGATCACTTGAGCCTGGGAGGTTGAGGCTGCAGTGAGCCGAGACTGCGCCCCCACACTCATGCTTGGATGACAGAATGAAACCGTTTTCAGTCCTGCTTGCTGTGTCTCTCTCTGAAAATGCAGTTTCCTTAGCGCATCCTCATGGACATGTGCATTTTTAAAAGCGAACATAATGTTCCCACTTTATGCCCCAAAATATGTCCTGGAGTAATTGTAGAGTTTGGCAAGAAAACCAGTTCAGTAAGTTTGTATTTTTGCTGTGTCCTGTTTAAATCAAAATTGTGGAGTCAGGAGAACTCCACACACTGGCAGGAGAGGAGAAATTGGTACAAGCTCTTTGCAGAGACACTGTACAGCATCTGCAAGAGAAGCAAGCAAGCACTTTTCAGCTGCAGCCCTCTCAGGTCTGGGCTTCAGAGAGTTATGCATGTGTGCAAACCTGGTCACAGCAGCGTGGCTAAAATATCAAAATAGTTCCAAAGTTGCCTGATTAAAGAAACTTCAGAAACACTATTTTCAGCATAAAAATTTCTGTAAGTGGTATCTAAATATATTAATCTATAGTTAGAGCTTAAAATATGCAAAAAAAATTATGTGTTCTGTTCAGGAGTGTATAGTCATATGCCCTATAAAGACATTTCAGTCAATGATGACCACATATATGATGGTGGTCCCATTAGATTATAATATTGTATTTCTACTGTAACTTTTTAATGTTTAGATTATTTCCCATAGTGTTACAACTGCCTACAGTATACAGTACAGTAACATGCTACAGGTTTGTATCCTAGGAGCAATAGATTATACCATCTAGCTTAGATGTGTAGTAGGTTATACCATCTAGGTTTGTGTAAGTACACTTTATGATGTTTGCACAATGACACATTTGTCAGAGCATATCCCTGTTGTGCAATGCATAACTATGTTCATGAATAATAAATATGGAACAAAACATTAGAAAGGTTAAAAAAAATTGGATAATGGTTCCCCCAGGGGTAAGACAATCAGAGAAGATACATACAGGCATTTACTCTGTAATATTTGACTTGGTTGTATACATGTTTGCCTATTATGATATTTATTATAAGTTTTTAAATGTCTGAAATATAACATATTTGACATGAATAAATCTCTGATGGGCCTTATTTCTGATTAACAAATAACCCATTGTTCACTTAGAAAATATGGAAAATGCACTCATATACCAATACGAACATATTCATAACATTTAACCCCATCATGGACTAGTAAAAACTGTAATCATGGTGGTTTGTTTCCTCCAATTGTCATCTACACACATGTGTACATGTGAACACACATACTGTATATGCATTGAATATGGATTTGATTTAACTGGAATGTATCGATTTTCTTTAGGTGTATAACTACAAAGTTAGTGGCTGAAACCTACATCCACATATAAGGTTGTAGGCCTGTAGGTCTGTAGGTCAGAAGTCTGGCACTGTATGACCTTGTTCTCAGTTTAGGGTCTCACAAAGCTGAAATCAAGGTGCCTACGTAGGCTTGACTGTGATCTTTTGTCTGGAGTCTCTCGGTAAAAATTTGCTTCCAAGATCATACTTGTTGCTAACAGAAGTCATTTTCTCAAGGCTATTGCACTGCACCCCACTTCCCAATTTCCTTGATGGGTGTCATCTTAGAGTCTTCTCAGCTCCTAGGGGCTACTCCAGTTCCCTGATACATGACCTCCTTCTTCCAGCCAGCAATGGTGTGTTGAATGCTCCCTGGGTTCTGATTCTCTAACTTCCCCTCTTCTGAACAGCCAGAAAAAATTCTCTGCTTTTAAAAAGCTCATTTGATTAGGTCAACCCCCTGCCAAACTTTCACCCTTCTACCATATAACAGAACATAATCATATATGTGTTATCACGTTATATTCACTGGTTCCACCCACACTCAAAGAAAAGAAGATTATACAAGGTTGAGAGGGTCATTGAAGCTCATCTCAAAATTCTGCCTGTCACAAGGAGATTCATAAAAAAAAAAAAAGCATGCAAAGTTCAGCTAATGGTGTTCAGCTTTAACTGATTTTTCACACCCAAATCCTAGGCCGCTGTAACAGGGCATTATCACAGTAGGCTGAGGCCAGCACAGGGGAAATAACTCATCCAAGGTTCTGTAGTCAAGAACATGTCTGGTCTTCTGTTCAGCATCCATATATCTTGTTCTGTAGTGTCCCTTCTACTTCAGAATCAATGGGAAACGGCTCCTCCAGTGTCAAACTAGATGGCAAAGAAAGGGGACAGGAAGGCAGATGCAGTCATAGGAAATGATGTGGTGATTTTTTTCCTTTCCTTATTCCCACATGAAACTCATCCCACAACTCAGAACTGGCCCAAAGCTCATAGGTTATGGGGACATATTTCAGCTCTTGCTGCTACCTTTCCACAAGTTCTCTATGGCAGTAATAATGGCCTTTGGTTTAGATCAATGTCATGTCCTCTCTGGGAGGGAGGAGGTAAATAGCCGGGAGTGTTGAAGTCCTACTACATCCCATAGGTACTTGACAGGTTTTCTAAAGAAGATATGTGGTGAGACTTATTTCACAGTTGACCAAGTTCCTTCTCACATGGACTAAGCCCTCTCCAGAGAAGGGGCAGAACTGGAATGTGATTCTATCTCTTGCCTTCCTCATAATATCACCAGTAGCTTTCTATTTGGAAGATGATGGCTTTACACTTCCCCCATAGTGTGCTCCATGGACCTCAACTCTACAGCCCTTTACATCAAAGAAGAGGATGGTGGAGATGAAATTCTGCCCTTTGAACTATGAAGCTTATGCTAGGTCACATGGATTGGCTGGTGCCTGCGGACCCTCCTAGGCCCACTGACTCCGCTCCACTGACATCAGGCTTGCACATATGACTACATGTGGCCAATGAGCTGTGAAGGGAAATGGAGCCTGCCCCTCCCAAGCAGAAGTGATAAGAGCCATCTAGGGGTTCCACCAGTACACTTTGTTCCTCTGTCTCAGCAATGACCCAGATTTCCAATGAGGTACTTTAATTCATTGTATCCTCCAGCAGCACTAGAATATGATAATTTAAATGATCACAGCAATACTTAGGAAGAGGCAAGCGAAATGATTTATAACCAAAATTGGCCTGCTAGAAGATCCTCCCAACTCACATGCCCTAACACTGAGTCTGTAGCCAGGAGAAGGTACACGTTTTACCCACATCACACAGATAGCAGTTTGTCAGGCTCTGGAAGCAACATCTTCTGCCTTTCACTCTATTGCTCTCTCCAGAAGACCTCTCCTCTTGCTTAGATCTTCCCTGGGCATTTGTCTGTATAGGGCCACAGGAATAACCCAGATACCCAGTTAATGGCCACTCCTGATGCTCACTCTCCAAGAGGGGCCCAAAATGGTCAGGAAAGGTACACTGATTATACAGAAACGGGGTGACATTTACTCATCCCACCTACAATGCACAATGCCACAACACAGAAGAGGCACCAACTCTTATACATAATGTGGGTCTGTATGAGTTTATTTTTATTTCTGTTGACATGTTTTCAGAAGCTCTTTAGGACACAGTTATGATGCTTAGTACTATATAGTTTAGGTTAAAGTCATCTCAGAACCAGAAGCTAGAAAGGGCCATGGAAAGGAGACTAATACTTCAAGGGCCTACAACGGTCCACACTGGGCTAGGCACTTTATATACTGTTTCTCTTAATCTTTACAATTGCTCTGTAAGTTAGGTATCAGTATTCCCTGCTTAAACTCATTCCTCCCCAGAGGCAGGCTCTCCTAGGGCTCATGGAGGTTAAATATATTTTACAAGTACACATGCCCAGTAAGAGGCAGCATGGTTATTCTAATCCAGGGTGGTCAGAGCCCAAAGTTGGGTTCTACCATGAACCTTTGCAGGTAGCCATGGGTAGTAACATTTGCCATGCTCTAGATCAGTTTTTCTCAACCTCAGCACTATTGATATTCTGGGCTGGAGAGCTCTTTGCTGTGGGGTATGTCCTAGGCATTTAGGGGTGCTCAGCAGCCTCCCTGGTTCCCAGAGAGGCTAGCAAGGTAAGTGACTTGTCCTTGAAACAGGAATGTTCCAAATTACTGGTTTGGGTCTGACACTAGGATAAAGGGAGGCATCCTGTCTCTCTTGCTCCAGTGTCCTGTCCAGCAGACTTAGTGTGAGGCTTTCATCAGGCCCCTCAGAAGTGCAAAGGAAATACACTTCTCTCATGCAAACAGGAGGGCAAAATAAGGGGATAGGAAAACCCAGGAAACAGGAAGAAATGGAGTGGGTGGTGACTTCATTCCCTTACCCCAATGTCTACTCATGGAGTCCATGACTCAGTTGGATGGAGATGGTGGAACCACCTTTTACCCTTCCCCCAGCCCCAACAGGGCACTCATTCCACCACATAGAAATGGCACTGGCTCACAGTGCAATTAGATACGTGGGAGTGTTTTTCTTCTTCTCTCCATATGCTCTCTAAATCATGCTGCCCCCTCAAATGTATTCACATTTGTAGTTCACTCTTTCCTACCTCCTCCACTACAAGCCAGGTAGAGCTCCAGCAGACTCCTGACTATCAGCAGATTCATCCTCAAAAAGTGTGATTCTCTTTTTTTCCCCTTCAAATGTACTGCTCCTCCTGTGTCTTTTCAGGCCCATTGAGACTCCAGACCCCATGTGAGACAATGACTGTATGATCCTTGTATTCCCAGATGACTGGATGACTCCTGCTAACCAACTTTCTGAGTCCAGTGGATTCGTTCAAGGAAGCAGGAGGGTAGCCAGATCCTCCTTTGGGAGAAGGCTGTGTCTGGGCAGGAGCTGGAACTCATGGGTTCTGTTCTGATCCAGCAGTGATAGACAGGGAAATATTAAGTTGTAGAATAAGGTGGTCCATGGAGTAGATTCTTTTAAAAGAATTAATGGATGGGGCGTGGTGGCTCACACTGTAATACCAGAACTTTGGGAGGCTGAGGCAGGTGGATTATCTGAGGTCAGGAGTTCAAGACCAGCCTGGCCAACATGGTAAAACCCAATCTCTACTAAAAATACAATAATTAGCTGGGTGTGGTGGTGCACGCCTGTAATCCCAGCCACTTGGGAGGCTGAGGTAGGAGAATCACCTGAACCCAGGAGGCAAAGGTTGCAGTAATCTGAGATCATGCCACTGCACTCCAGCCCGGGCAACAGAGCAAGACTCCATCTCAGAAAAAAAAATTAATGTAGCCCCCCTGGCAAACTAAGAAAAGCTGTTTCTATTGAAGGTCAGGCAAAGGGCTTCTGATAAATCACTGCAGTTCCTCAGGAGTGACTGGGGGAAGAGGATGAAAGGAGGGACTTTGTATGAGGTCTGTTCCTGAGGGCTGTAAGGGAAGAGGAACACCATGTCCAGCATAAACCACCCAAAATAATTGGAATGGTTCATGGTAGTGGCGAGGCCTGGGCGATCATTTCATTCAGCAGAGCAGTGGTTAGACACTTTTGATGAATGCTGCAGCATTTGTCTTCTTTCCTGATGTGCTGGCAAAAAGTAATCATGAGCAATTTTTCGGTATGAAATAGGGAATACCAAATAAATCAGCCAGTGAATAAGAATCCTAGGAAAACTAGTAGTAGCCCCTCCACCCAAGGCTGAACTGGAAACCAAGAGTCTAAAAGGCAGCTCCAAATGCTAGGGTAATGATGCAGAGTTCAAAGAGAACACGAGATGTGGGTAATAATGAAGTCACTCTGTTGCCAGGTCAACAGACATTTAGGTTCTCTGTTCAGATTCCGTATCAAGCTCAGGCTCAAATCAGCCATCACTGTGAACTTTGAGTGAAAGAGGAGACGACAACAAGGAGAAACGGCAGCTGTGGGAAGTCTCCTCCTACAACGCTTACAGTTGACGAAGCTCCAGCAGTTGGCAGAGTGAAGAGAGGGCCTTCTTCGGGCGGAAAAATCTATCCATCACAATGATTGGTTGGTCACACATGATTCTCTATTACTGTTTCATATTGCAGTTAATCTTCTGTCTTCTGCTCCTCATCTCATTAGTGTTCCGTATGGTCTTCCAAATTTGGAAACAACATTGAACAACTTACTTCAGGAGATAAAAGATTTTCAAACTTAGTGGACACCTGCAACTTTCAGAAGAAGAGAACAAAGAATTCACGGAAAGGGAAAAGGACATGTACTTCATTACCATTGACTTTTGGAATATAATAGCTGACTCTGGTTTCATTCACAGAACCATGGATCTCCACGTCATATGGGATAAAAGCAGAAAACATAAAGATACAGCAAGTTTCCTGGTCTCTGCCTCTGCATATTTTTTTGTAATTACCTAAAAGGTTCCCATTTCATACAGATTTTGTGAAAACTCCATACAGTAAATACCCTTTATAATGTGGTTAGAGGCTCTACTTTTGTTATTTAATCCTCGCTAGAAGCCTATGAGGTAGGTACCATGGTTATGCTCATTTTACCAAAGAGGAAATGGAGGCATAAGGGGTGTGTCTGTGGCATCAGCTTATTATAAGTGGCAAGGCTGGGGCTCAAACCCAGACCATCAGATTCCCAGATAGTCTCTTAAGCCCTAGGATGTTCCCTGGTGGGAAAAGAATGACTGTCTTCTATCACCTGAATGCACAACTTGGTAAGATGGATTGATTTCTCCTCGTTACCTCAATTTTCCCTTAGCTTGACATCAAACTTCTTTTAGGCTGTACTCTGGGGCCAGAGCAAAGACAATCAAGCCTCTCAACATTTTGTAAATAGCCCAGTGACACGCTTGTATAGAGTAGAAGGATTCTTTACATGTGGGTAAATCATGTTCAGTTTATTTTTGAGAGATTCTTCTTTGAAACACATTGCCTCATAAGCTCACGTGGAGATAATTTAAAATACAAATGTACATTCCTTGGGATTTTGTACATAGGTAGTCATCTCATCTGAAAATAGGAATAGTTTTATTGCTTATTTACCAATCTATGTGCCTTTCATTTTATTTTCTTGCCTTATCACAATAGTTAGAATTTCCAGCAGAACATTGAATAAGAGTGACTAGAGCAGACATTCTTGTCTTGCTCCCTGTCTTAGGGGGAAATCATTCAGTTTTTTCACCACCAAGTACAGTGTTAGCTGTAGATCACATTTGTAGATGCTCTGTATCAGGTTGAGTAAGTTTCCTTCTATTCTTATCTTACTGAGATTTTTTTACTGTTTTTATTTTGAATAACTGCTACATTTTGTAAAATGCTTTTTCTGCATCAATTGATGCCGTATTATTTTTCTACTTGATGGATAACATTGATTGATGTTTGAATGTTGAAATGGCCTTCCATCTTTGGAATAAACTCTGCTTGTTCATGGTGTATAATTCTTATTTTATTTTATATAACTTTTTAGTTCAGGGGTATATGTGCAGGTTTGTTACATAGGTACACTTGTGTCATGGGGATTTGTTGTACAGATTATTTCATCACCGAGGTGATTAATCCTAGTACCCATTAGTTATTTTTTCCTGAACTCCTCCCTCCTCCTCCACTCCACCCTCTGAATGGCCCCAGTGTGTGTTGTTCCTTTCTGTGTGTCCATGTGTTCTCATCATTTAGCTCCAACTTATAAGTGAGACTATGCAGTATTTGGTTTTCTGTTCCTGCCTGAGTTTGCTAAGGATAATGACCTCCAGCTCCATCCATGTTCCTGCAAAGGACATGATCTCATTTGTTTTATGGATGCACAGTACTTCATAGTGCATAGGCACCACATTTTCCAGTCTACCGTTGATGGGCATTTAGGTCAATTCCATGTCCTTGCTATTGTGAATAGTGCTGTCATGAACATACACATGCATGTGTCTTTTTTTTAACTTTCTTAATTATTATATTATAGTTTCCATAACATACACCATGGATTCAGAAACTTTTTTCCCCAGTTTTGAACATCTATTAAATTGTTCTTATTTATCACTTACAGCTTTTTTTGCATTTTTTATTTTTATGGATACATAATAGTTGTACATATTTATGGGATACATGTAACATTTTGATACAAGCATATAATGTGTAATGATCAAATCAGAAATTGGGGTATCGATCACTTCAAACATTTATCATTTGTTTGTGTTGGGAACATTCCAAGTCTACTCTTGTAGTTATTTTGAAATATACAGGAAATTATTGGTAAATATAGTCATCCTATTGTGCTATAGAACACTAGATCATATTCTTTCTAATAGTATTTTTGTACTTGTACTTGTTAACCAACCTGTTTTTTATCCCCTATCCCCATTACCCTTCCCAGCCTCTGGTAACCACCAAATGCAAATGAAAACCATAGTGAGATATCATCATACCCTAGTTATAATAGCTATTATCCAAAACACAGAAAATAACTAATGCTGGGGAAGGTGGTGGCTCAAGCCTGTAATTCCAGCACGTTGGGAGGCCAAGGTGGGCGGATCAGGGGGTCAGGAGATTGGGACCATCCTGGCCAACACGGTGAAACTTTGTGTCTACTGAAAAAAAAAAATTAGCCAGATGTGATAGTGCACGTCTGCAGTCCCAGCTACTTGGAAGGCTGAGGCAGGGAAATCACTTGAACCTGATAGGGGGAGGTTGCAGTGAGCCGAGATCAGGCCACTGCACTCCAGCCTGGGTAACAGAGAGAGACTATTTCAATAATAATAATAATCTCATGGAGATGGTGAACTAAAAACTTTTCTGAGGAAAAACAAAACCATCACATCCATTATATGATGTATCCCAAGGTGAGAAATGTTACAAACTTTTCAAAAATAAATGCTAACATAGAATAGGATAATTTAGATCCCATGATATATGCATTGTTAGGTTCTCTAGCATTTTGACACATTTTATTACAGTCTTTTTCTAGGCATATTTGTACTCAATATAATTGTGCTTCCATTATTGTACTACCAGTGGTTCTCCAGTATTAAGTGTGCATTAGAATCTCTCAGGGGAGCATGATAATAGTGTATGTTTGGGACCCAGTTAGAAGTATATTTGAATCATGTAATATTGGGGAAGGGAAACAAATTCTACATTGTTAATAAGAAACACAGGAGATTGTGAAGCAGGCAGTCTGTATGAAATGCTTCAAAATCACCAATACGTACCGCCATGGACTCCTTCCTCCTAGACCAAAACTTTAGTCAGGCTTCTGTGAGCCTTTTTTTTTTTTTTTTCTGACTAGGCCTTCTCTTTGGCCAACTGAGCCCAGTTTTCGCAAATAATCCTGCTCAGTCAGTGTATCAAGAATCCTCCCACCTTTGCCATCCAATCAAGCTCTTCTGCCACTTTTGATGTCTAATCAAGTTCCTTCCCTTCCTCTGATAACTAACCAAATTTCTTAGTTTTCTACCCTTTCCCTCACCCTTCCCAGTGACCATAAAATCCCAGCTATCTCAGTAGTATTTGGAACTGAGTTCAATCTCTCTCCCCTCTTGCAAGAGTCTTGAATAAAGTCTTCCTTGTTTTTTTAAAACAAGAATCAAATGCAATGTTTCTTTTATAATACAATGCTATTTTTTTCATTTTAATTTGCTGTGTCAAATTAAGTTTGCTTTGGGAAATGCAAGTCTTGGCCTCTAGAGAAATGAAGTGACGTGCCTGCTGTTCTTTAGTGAAGGGTAGAACTGGGCTAAGGACTTCAGGGATCCCCACAGAGTCATAATGGCCACATTAAACATTTATTCAAGGCTGGCAAGGGGGCTCATGCCTGTGATCCCAGAACTTTGGAAGGCCAAGGTGTTAGGATTGCTTGAGCTTGGGAGTTCAAGACAGCCTGTGTAACATAGCGATACCTCATCTCTGCTAAAAATACAAAAAAAAAAAAATTAGCTGGGTGTGGTGGTGCACATCTATGGTCTCAGGTACTTGCAAGGCTGAGGTGCAGGATTGCTTGAGCTGGGGAGAGTGAAGATGTAGTTAGCTATGATCATGCCACTGTACTCCAGGCTGGGCAACAGAGCAAGACCCCATCTCAAAAACAAACAAAAACAGAACATTTACCTAAGGCATACCAGAATTTCTGCTCCTAGACAGATGGAATTGTTCTCCCATGTAAAACAACTAAAAAGTTGGATGAAATGCAAGAACAAGCTGTTCTGAAGACCTTAGACAACAGGCAGCAATGTTTAGTGATCCCTGAGAGACTGGGAACCAATGAGGTTATTCTTATGATTGCCCCAGGTTACTTCCTGGAGAAAGTTTTCAGGCCACAGTGCAAGAAGCATGAATCCAGGCAAAGCCCAATAGTATCCCAGAGCTTAGAATAAGAAGTTGGTAGTCCAAAAAGGGCAAGGAAGCTGGAGTTCACAGGGCTGTGGCCCAAAAAGGAAATTACTGCACAGAGAAGGCATTCCAGAGATCCATGGAGAGCGACTCGTGAATATTCACCTGAGTGCTGTCAAATGATAAACTTAGGCACATTAAAATTGTGAAGAGTTTATTTGAGCAGACAGCTGTTCATGAACAGAGGAACACTGCAGGTGGTTCAGTGTTCCACCAAGGGGCACGTGAGGGAAAAACTTTTATAAAATGTTTTCTAAAGCAAGAAAAAGAAAACATTTGATTTGTAAAAGTGAAAAGTTTCTAGTTAGTAGTTAATAGGCAGCTTTTGATTGGTAAAGTCTCTAGTTACAAGTTAGCTGACAGTTCTTAATTGGTTATGCTTAAGTTTTATTTTCTTGGGCTACGACCATTCTCTATGAGTTGGGTTTCAGTTTGCTCACATAGAAACTCTAGTTTGTTAGAGTCACCTCAGCTTAATGGCCTCCCAATTATTTTAACTAGTATTGATCATTCTGATCATTACATGCCTGTATGGAAACTACCCCAGATCAGGAAATGATCTATCAAAAAGGATTAGAGGAAATAGTTCCTTAAGTTCACACGTGTTTGGGAACAGTGCATGTTACCACCAGCCAGACTTGGAAACCTCATAATTCACAGGACATATTAGATAGAGTACTTAGAAAGAATTTTCCTCATTAGTAGGGAATGATTAACTAAACTAAATACAACACTGATCCTTTCTTACAAAGTTTTAAAGCAAGAATCTAAAAGACAAAACTTTACAAATAACTGTTTTCCAGAATAAAAATCAATAAAATTCCAGGGATATCCACCACTCAATAGGCCAAACTTACAATGTCTGACATCCAATCAAAAGCCTACAAAAAAACAGGAAAATAAAACCCATCATGAGAGAAAAAGCAATCAATCCAAACTGACTCAGAAATGACAATGATGGTAGAATTACATAAGAACATAAAAGCAGATAATTAGAACTTCATTGCATATGGTCAAGAAGCTGGAGGAAAGAGTGAACAAGTTTAATAGAAACATGGAATATAAAAAAATCAAAAAGCCTCAATTTAAACATCTAGAGATAAAACCTACAATGTCGGAAATAAAAAAATATACTAGATGAGGTTAATGGCAGATTACACATTGCAGAAGAAAAGAGTAGTATACCTGAAGATGTAGCAAAATAAACCATTTGAAATGAAATACAGAGAGAACAGATTGAAGAATTAAAAGAACATTAATTGTGGTTGTGTGGAAACCATACTGATAGTCACTTGAAGTGGAAATTGTCTTAGCCCTCTAATTACATGACAAAGATTGTCAGATTGGATAAAAAAAAGCAAGACTCAGCCCCAATATCCTATAACCACAAATACAAGCTGAGAAAAAGCCTCTTCTGCTAAAAATATAAAACATACCATGGGCCAAGCATCACTAAGACAGTACTCACCTAATCTAGTACAACTGTAATGCAAGTAGGTCTTTATGCACATCTCTGTAGGAGATCAACTGGGACGTTGGCACATTGAGGTATCTAGAAAAATCTGTAGTGATCATGGCCAGTGGACAGTGCAGAACTGGGAGAAGGGGGTGGGTCATCATAGCAGAGGGATGGAGTGGGACAGTTACACAGTTTGGCTACTACTCCCAGCAGCTGAAGGGGATCTGAGGTACTTGGATTCTGAATGCGCGGGTGAAAACGAAGTCATCCAACGCCATTCATTCACATGCTCTTTACCTCCTTTGGGTCCCACAGCAGCCCTGGAAATGATCATCTCCATTTTACTGAGTATAGGAAACACTATGGCCTTACCATGGTAATAACTACTAAATTTATCCGTAGCTAAAGGATCGTAACTTGTTTGAAATTCATTATTCTTTTTCAACAAATTTTCCACTCTTTTAATGGCTGACACATTAGTGTGCTTCCTCTTTTAAAAATCAAACTTTAATTACAAACTAAGTAACATTTATTAATTTAGGAAAAAATAGAAAACTTTAAATTAATTAATGCTCATGTGATCTTAGGAAATAAAATAAGGTGTTGAAGATAAGATTTTAAAGCTTTCTTAATATGGTTTTTCTTCTGCTCAAAATAACAACAAAAACCACTTTATAATGTGTTACTTTACAGTCAGAAACACAAAGTTCATTTGTGTGAAAATAATTTTTTAAATGGGCATACATCTGAAGATTTCTGTCTTCATATGAAAGAAAAATTTTTTTTTATTAAATAGAAAATATTTTCCATCAGAGTAAATTTCTAAACATGCTAATTGTGACATTTCAAATGTTTGGCAGAAATATTTTAAAAACTAGAATTTGAAGTTTATAGGGATGACTTCTTTATTGGGTTATGTATAGTTATTCACTTAAAAATCATTCCAGCTGGTTACAAATGAAATATTGACTATATAACATGCTATCTTTTTTAAAATTTAAAAACTGAATCTTTCTAAGCAAAACCAGTATATTTACTATGTAATACACGTGATGTCAGGAAAGGAGACAAAGTAGAGGTGAAATTTTGCCCATTTCATTTATGAAATTCAAAACTTTTTCTACTTCTAAGACAAATTTTAGGTTTTATAAATAAATAGTTCTCTCCTAATCTAATAAATACATGTGTTTACTTTATATTTCTAAATTTGCCAAAATGCATTTCAAAATTAGACTACATTAGACCACTGAGAATGGACTTCTGAAAGATGATGGCTTGAGTTTTGAAAATCAGGAGCTAATTGAAATCTGATCAAATGTGAGTCAATCAGCTTTGATGAGTGCAGAGGAGAGATTAGAAAAATAGTAACAAACATGGCAAGCTAAACATATTTATTTGGCAGGGGCTTTGAAAGAGGCAGTGTTTCTCATAAGAGGCTCTAAGCCTGGCTTCTTCATGATAAAATATAAGATGAAGATTAAAAAACTCACAAGTGGTATCTGTGGATGACTGGATTATGGTTTTGTTTATATTCTCCCTATATTCATGATCCAAATATATATGATAACATATAAATGATCGTAAAAAGTATTATGTTTAGGCTGGGCACGGTGGCTCACGCCTGTAATCCCAGGACTTTGGGAGGCCGAGGTGGGAAGATCATGAGGTCAAGATATCGAGACCATCCTGGCCAACATGGTGAAACTGTCTCTAGTAAAAATATAAAAATTAGCTGGGTGTGGTGGCGTGCCAAGATCATACCACTGCACTCCAGCCTGGTGACAGCAAGATTCTATTTAAAAAAAAAGAAGTACTACATTTAAAAATGTTCTTTATAGAAACTTTTAAAATATGAAAGTATTAAAGAAACTCCACAGACTCAAAAATGTTGTTATATATTGGTTTAGATAAACTACAATTCTGAAATAATTTAATAACTAATTAGTAAATGAAGTAATTAAATGAATTATTATGTTATGAAACATCTACTATATTAGGCACTATGCTAGAAACTTAGCTCCAGGGAGATTAAGACAAAATCACTGTTGTGAAAGGGCACAGGTTGGCATAGAAATGATAATGCATAATTTATTTAATAATTTCATAATTATATACTTAATACATTCATGATAAGGCATTAGTTTAATAGAATATTTGAAAAAAAGACAAAACAGTGGTGGTTTAAATATAAACATACATTGACGATCTAATGTAGTCTAATTTTGGAATGCTGTATTTTGGAAACATATATTCATTATAGAATCAAGTACATAAGGTAATTTGGATCATGATATTTGTAAAATAGTGTAATTACTGTCAGTGTTTCTCTATGCTTATGTTGTCAAACTCAGGTGTGAGATATGTGAGAATCACTTGGGAAACTGTCAAAACAGTAATTCCTGATTCTGGTGATTCAGGTGGTGACAGTGAATGGTTGGGGGTGGGAAGAGCAGCCAACTTTCAGCATTTTTAACACTTTCCCTAAGTGATTATGATGCAAATAAGGGGTCTATGTTTCCCTAAACACTAACATATACAAGGTTTAAAAAAATTTTTATAGAATTTGAGTTAGAAACTTTCCTTGCTATGTTCCTTTGGAAACATTGTAATACTTTCCACATAACTAGTTACTTGCCTTTGAACACTTCGTTAAGGACAGTGAGTCAGGGACAGTTTTGAGCTGGATTTCTAACGCGATCATAGTTAATCAATCAAAATAATTAATAATTTAAAATCTAATATGTCACGGACTATACCAGAAACTGAGTTCCAGGATGATTAAGACAAAATGATTGCCTGGAGAAAAGGGCACACACTCACAAAGAAATAACAATGCCAAATACTTCATACAGTTTTAAAGAATTTATAAAGTAGTTTCATGGTTCAGGTATAGACAAGAAGGGAGTGTGTTTCCGCTTTAAAGAAAATGTGTTCCCCCATTGTAATTTACATGTCTGGGTAAGTCTGTTAAACTGGATGGGTAGGCCTGCCAAAAGTCTCCTTTGAGAAAATCCATATCAAGCATAGAAACACAGGCACAAATAAAGCCTTCAGGTTTGCAGTAACATAAATCTGGGCACACTTAGATATATTTCCTGAGCTAGGCCCCAGTGCACTCGTGTCTGAGTTATTTGAAGGAGTCATGAAAGAAAACCAGAAAGGATTATTTTGCAAAGAACCAACGTGATCCCAAGAACTACAAGATTTATCCTGGTTATACTCACTGAGATAAATACAACTCTCAAGTTATAAAGACATTCCCCATAATTCTATAGAGGTCAAAGCAGGGATTTGGCTCACCAGGGACTCCAGATAAATCAGTGGGGTTTTGTTACCTTGAAGACCCTAGCACCTCATCAACAAGAACAGAAACAGGATCCAGCAGAAGGAAAAGTGTGGCCAACTAAGAAGACAGTAATCAGGGGAGCAGGAGGATTGCATATAACAAGAGTGACTTGGGGAATCCCACGTATTTTCACTGTCTGGACTTGTAAGCATGAGTGATAATTCCTCCAGTTCTCCCTAAGTACCTGGTGGGGGTCCCAGTCCTATTAAATGTTGGGGAGTTGGGGACAGAAGCCAGCCCAACACAGTTCCACATTTCATCAGTTCCACTTAGCAACCCTGTAAGACAAGCGTTGTTCCCCATTTCACAAAGCAGAAAACAGGCTCTTTAAAGGAATGTATCTGTAATAAAGGGAAGGTTTATTATTTCAGTTAAGAGTGAAAGATAAAGTTTATTCTTCAAATTTGTTGAGGCAGTATTGTTATGTATCTGGACTACATTCATAATCCATTCATAATCTCATTTAAAAATAATTTTCATTGCTTCTCAAACTCCAGATAATAAAAGAAAAAAAGTGTCACATACCTTTTTTTTTTTTTTTTTGAGACAGAGTCTTGCTCTGTCGCCCAGGCTGGAGTGCAGTGGCACAGTCTCAGCTCAGGCTCACTGCAACCTCCGCCTCCTGAGTTCAAGCATTTCTCCTGCCTCAGCCTCTTAAGTAGCTGGGACTAAAAGCGTGGGCTACCTCGCCCAACTAATTTTTTGTATTTTTTTTTAGTAGAGATGGGGTTTCACTGTGTTAACCAGGATTGTCTTGATCTGCTGACCCAGTGATCCGACCCTTGGCCTCCCAAATTGCTGGGATTACAATTACCATAGAAAAATATGCCCCAATTAACACTCTGGTGTATTTAATCTCAGATTTTTTTTTTAGTTCATCTGTTATATGTAAGGATACATTTTTAATGAGACAATACTAAATGTATAGATTGTTTTTTAAATTGCTTTATTAACTTTAAATTTTTCCATGCACATGGGTGAAACTCTACTGCTGACAGAAACTTAGACTGAGTGCAAAGGCAAACTCCAATTAGAAGCTGGCAATACAAGACCCACTTGACACATGGAAATAACATAGGGTTCACAGCAAACGGATCAGTAAAGGCATATTAGGAAAATGCAAGGAAAAGGAAAACAGCGAGAATCACAGTATTAATCTCATGATAAATGGCAGGAATCAAGGCATAAGGCAAAATTCATCATGATGGTCGTGGTGATTCGAGAGCTCCCCCATAAGGATACGCAGACAATTCCTCAACTGCAGCTCCCTAAGTTTTCTCCTGATTTCTCTCATCTCCTCCATGAATATTTCCATATCATCTCCATCTCCACCCATCCCATCATTGACCTGCCTATTGGGTATGGCCCATCGAAAATTAGGGGCAAGTCGGCGAGCCTGTGCCCGTCGATTTCCTGCAGGCTGGTGGCCTTCACCTCCTCCCAAAGGGCGGTCTTCCTCTCCATTCTGCATGGGCTGCTCCATCTCTTCGTTTTCCTGGTGAATATTTGCCATGATGAGATTTTTTTTTTCTGGTTGTTTTTCTTTGAACACAAGTAAGACAAAGGCAAGGAGAGAGACTGAATGCTTGGTACACTGACCAGCAGGATTCAGAGCCCTGATATCAAAGGATTTAATTTCATATTTTCCCACCTTAGAAGTTCCGTGCGTCCTCTAGGGGGCCTCCAATTAGAGCCCCTCCCTCCAGCTTTCTCCCCTTACCTCCCTTCCCCCAAACCCACCATTTTTCCTTTCCCAAGATTCTTTCTCAGAGCTTCGCAGGCAGCAAAATGGAGGACGGGTGTAGGAGTGGGGGGATGGGGTGGAGAGGGCTGGGGTCTCAGACTGGGCTTTCCTCACGCTCGGACCCCCGCACCACCACCGTCCCTCGCACCGACCTGGGCCTATCCTTGCGGTCTCCTCCTCCTCCGGATTCTCGCCCCGAGGTGCGCCGCCGGGACACTTAGCCTCGCAGACCTGCAGATGGGCAGGGGTGGGGGGATGGGGGCTCCTGCAGCGGAACGCTAGCAAGGATTATCCACCACCCAGCTCCTTCCCCGCCCCGGGCCCGGGCTTTCCTTGCGGCCAGCGCCCCGCGTCCCGCACTCCGCGCCCCCACCCTCAGCCGCCCCACCCCCCCGCGGTGTTCAACGTTTTCCTGCAGGAACTCGGGGGTGGTTTTCCCTCGCTCTTGGTTGCTCTGCTGCCCCTAGGACCCCAGCCGCTCCAGCTTGCCCACCCCAGGTGGCCTCTATGTTCCCAAGAATGTTGGGGTGTGGAGAAAACTGGCGGGGACCCCCTGCGCTGTTCTGCGCCCGTCGCGGGGGTCCGTGAGCCGCTGCCGGCCAGGCCGGGGTGCACGGACCCCGGGGATCTTACCTGCTCCGCTTTTCCCCGGGCCGGATGCCAGCCCGCCGAGCGCAGGGCAGCGGGGAGCTGGTAGCCAGACGCGAGTGACGACTGCACCGAAGGCTGCGTAGCTCTGCAGCTCTGGGTCACGTGAGGGCCGCGCGTCACCGCTGAGCTCGCCCCTCAACTTGGGCGGCCAGTGCAGCAGGATCTCCCCCCTTTCCCCCACCCCCGCCGCCAAATGCCCGCGCAAAAAGCAGCCTCCCTACTCCCGTCTGCGTGAGGTGCCCCAGAGCGCACCGCTCTGTCACTCTTCTGTCCTCTCCAATCTGAGGGCCCACAAGTGGCATCACTGCTCTGCGGTTGGAGTTTGCTCTCCTCTGGTTACCAGGGAGAGTCTGCACTATCCTCCACCACCGCCTCCTCTCACTCTAGGCCTTGGCTTTGGCCTTTTCTACTTTCTCTTCCCTTCTACCTGTCACTTTGCGCTGCATTCCCACCCCTACCCCTTGCATGTGCACAGTCACCAATGCCCATGTAGCCCCTGAAGTCCTACCCTTCTGGAAAATTTAGAGTGAGGGCAAAGGTGGGAAGGCAGGACGGCACTTGTCAGAAAGAGGGGCAAGGAAGTGGAGTGGGCAGTATCTATTTCTTTTTGTTTCCTTTTCTTTAAAAATCTGCATGCTTCAGAAAATTATAAATTCTAACTTTTCAATTTTGAAGGAAATGCTGGCCGGTGGCCATGGCGCACCTGCAATCCCAGCACTTTGGGAGGCCGAGGTGGGCGGATCGGTTGAGGCCAGGAGTTCGAGACCAGCCTGGCCAACATGGTGAGACCCCTGTCTCTACTAAAAATACAAAAATTAGCCGGGTGTGGTGGCGCGCGCATGTAATCCCAGCTGCTCAGGAGGCTGAGGCAGGAGAATCACTTGAACCCTGGAGGGAGAGGTTGCAGTGATCTGGGATTGCATCACTGCACTCCAGCTTGGGTGACAGATCCTGTCAAAAAAAAGGAAATGCTTTATCCTACAGAATGAAATCTTTCACTGTTTATGTTGACCTGTACCACACAAAATATTTTCTCTGAGCTCCACACACATCAAACCATTACTTTTGATACCTACTAGCTCATTTAAAATTTTATCTTCATAAAAAGTAGGCACTCTTTCTGAACACAATTGGTGTTTTCAAAATGATCTGTAAAGTAAATTTTCAGGGAGATGTCCAGTCCTCAGATCTTCACCATTTCATGTAACTTTGATGTTTTTGATACCACAGTCATCAGAGAAAGGGAGTCTTTTATTCTCTGCTTTCCTTTCTAAACCTTTCAAACCATCCCTACAAATATCTTCTTAGAATGAAATCAGAAGTTAAGTACATATTATTCAGAAATTAGTTTCAAAGCCATCTACCCTTTTCTGCGAATGTTTCAAAATATATTAGGAATAAGCAGGGAATGTGTGAAACAACAAGTTGAGACTGAACCTCATCCTGAGTGCAAATGTTCCTTTCTCCAACTTGAAATCATTTAAAAAAATTATCACAGCTAGAAAATGAGATGTCTTTAGGAAAGTGGCATTGTTATAAAAAATATTTGGTATCTGTTGTTTATAATAAGGAACCAAAAGCATTAAATGCAGCACTGAGACAGGAAAGGTCAGACAAATGCTTACTATCTCTGGTTTTGGCCCCAAACTCCTATGTAATTTCGTACCCTGCTAAACCAGATGACAGTGAATAAAGGGAGAGTATATGCCCAGTACATAGGTAGTTTGAGGTTTCGGAGATACATGTTCCATATAAAATTACATACATATTATTCGAGAGGTATATAGATATATATATGGGTTCCGTCTCACAGTTAAAAACTTTTTATACAGACTGCTATGTTAATGATACCAGCTGGAATGATGCAGTTTCAAAACATGAACTATAGTATCAGACAAGTCTGGCTTCAAATTCAGTCAGCTGATTACTTGATGTGCAACTTTGGATCAATTACTTATCAAGGTCTATGTGCTTCCTCTGTGAAACAAGGATTGTTAGAATTACACATAACAAGAATTTACTACAAACCTAGTCAATCATCAATTTTGTTGACATTATTTTTATTGTTATTAGGTTGTTTCTAACATGATTTGAAGAGTAGCAGAGTATGATTCTTTCCTTCGCTAGACCCACTTGTTCTTACAATCCATGAGGGCCCAAAACATGCTTGCTGTGTTCTATTTGGCATACTCAGTGACTTCAGTGACTAATAGTGTTCCTTGCACCAAGTAGGTGATCACTAAATGTTTGTTGAATGAATGTATCTAGTATTGAGGTGAGTTGATTGTTTTTCATTCTGGGGACTGTATTTAGAGCAATACAGAAAAGCTTTTATGAAAATTAGGAATTACCTAGGAAAAATCTCCTGAAAGTTTAAGAGCCACTGTGATATGAATATTGGATACGAAATTTAGCAAGTGGATTTTTATTTCTTTTGGTGGCTAAATGCTTTGCGGTTTTCCTTTTGACCCATCTTGGATAAATCTTTTGTTTGAAACCACCAAATTTCCTTGGATGAAACAGACATTTGTTTGTAACATCCAGATTGGATATTATCCTATATAGGTGAAATATTGTCCTAGAAGTGCTGGTATCTTTACTAAAATGTTGTGAGTGGGAGTTGATTGAGATGTTTTCTTGACTTTGGAGTTTCCTTCGGAGTTGGAGATACATAGCACACTGTTGAGAATAAAACACCAATTTTTTGAAGGCCAAGTTAGCAGGACACTAGATTCTGTGTTTGAAATCGTTGTTTTCAAAGGACAGAGAGAAGGTGAACTGATTAGATGGTTCTTATTCATACACACATCCCACACATGTTTCAAACCCAGGAGCCTTAATTCTATCTGCCCTGGAGGAACCAGGAGGACTCAGAATGAAAGGTGAGATTGGCATTTGAAAATGAATAGAACCAAATCTTTAGTCTGGCTGAAACTATTTTAATAAGCAATAGTGACTGAAAAGTCAGAGAACAGGAGAGAAATGTAGTTAAAGAAGCCCATTACCCTGTGTGAAGTGGGGGAGAAGGGTGGTAGAAATAACACTGTTGATACAGCTATTGGGAAAATAAAACTGTTTCATGATTTTATCTCAACTAGTGAAGATCCCTCTTTTGTATTAGTTTCCCATCACAGGAAGCTCCTTTTTGCTGAAATCTTTATGTGTATTGCCATGACATGGCTCACATGTACTTATCTGAAATTCACCTGGTTGGACTGTGATTATTGTCCTATTTTCCTCTCATTATCTCTCCTGTGTAAACGCTAGGCTTGGAAGAAGGTAGTCTGAGCCCTAGTGGGCTCTGTGGGTATAGGTATCTCTGTTCCTGCCGAGAACAGGTTCTGTATGTGCCTCCCTGATGCTTTACTGATGCTCTTTTATTGTGATTCTCTCTTTCTCTCTAAATTTAAGCACCTATTACAAACTAAAAGTAGGTATTAAGAATATAGGAAATTATGCCTACTCCAGCTTTCCTCTAAGCTATGAGCATTATAACTTTGATGCTAAGATTTCCAAAATGTGGATTGAATCTGATGAAATTTTAAGGGTGTCACTGTAAGAGTTTGGATGATTTGGGAGATGCTATATTTAATTCAAGAGATATAGCCTGAAAAAATAAAAGGGCCATGAGACTAAGATGTCTGAACGTGAAAGCAGCAAATATTAGTACTTCATTATCTACTGGCGAACTGAGGACTATTCTTTATTTCATGGGTTGCAGATAATATCTTGACACACCAGAGACCCATGGCCACTCTTTCCTGTTGTTTAGGACTCTGGTGGAAAAGGAGCTCTGCCCTGTACAGTCTCCTAAACAGATGACATTAGCTGGACTATGAATAGGCCAACAGAACTTCTTTGCCCCTTCTAGCTTCAGGTCGAGGTGAGTACTATTCTTACTTTTCCCTGTAGGGATGAACTTTGAGGAGTAACAAATTCATGCATAAACATTCATGAAGTGACTTTATCTTATCTCACTATTATTATTCCCATGTAAGTTCCATTGCTAATACACACTGCAACAAAGGAAATCTGATTTTTCACACAAATTTAAAAGACAGACAAGGAACTGGAGAAATATATTTATTATGTGCTATGGGTTGAATTGTATCCCCCCAAAATATGTAATGAAGTCCTAAGCCTTATAAACTCTCTGTGGCCTTGTTTAGAAACAGGGCCTTTGAAAATATATTCAAATTAAATTGAAATCATTAAGCTGAGCCCTAATACGATATGACTGGTGTCCTTATAAGAAGAGGAAACCAATCCAAAGACAGAGGGAGAGATTGTAGTAATGCAGCTTCAAACCAAGAATGCCAAGGATTGACGACTATGACCAAAAGCTAGGAAGAGGCAAGAAAAGACTCTACTCAGAGACTCTGAGGAAGCATGGCTCTGCTGACTCTTTGATTTTGAAATTCTAGCTTCCAGAGCCATGAAAGGACAGTCCTTGTTGTTTTAAGCCACCCAGTTTGTGATACTTTGTTACAGCCATCCTAGGAAACCAACAATGTGTGAAAGAAAAAGAAAGTTAACATCCATTATATTTAAAGAGCTCTCACAAATTAATAAGAAAAAAATGAGCATGCCAATAGGAAAACGTGCAATGGATTTGAATAAGTAGTTTACAAAAGAAATAAACACTGCCAATAAAAAACATTTATTATTTTAACAAATAATAGTTGAGCATTTATCATGTGCAAATTGCTGTTTTAGGCACTAAGGATGCAGCAGGAAACAGCACAGACAAGGGCCCTGTTGTCAAAGACCTTCCACTATACTGGGTAATGTTGGGACTCAGAAACTGATACCCCAAGATATGGTGCTTTGACATGCTGAACTAAAAAGGAAGCCTCAACATCCGTCTGACCTTTCCCACGCACTTCCTGACTCTCAATCCTCTGTGTCTCCCAAAGCACAGGATGAAGTTGTTTTCTGAAGTTCCCTTATTTTCCTAAAGTCTAAACTCATTAAAGAAGAAAACAATTACCTCTAGTCCCTGAGCTTTCATTAACTGCACTCATATCTCAGGAAGAAAGACTGAAGTCCATCAACATGCCTAGACAGACTTTCGTCACAAACCATTGTCTTCTTTGTATGCCCAACAGACTATATTCTAGGCCATTGTATGTTCTTCAAGCCCATTGAAATAGGATAATAAAGTAAACTGTGAGGCCAAAAGAATGGATTAGTGGGCTTATAGAATAGGGGATTTTACAGCTGTGTTTTCTATGCCTTTGCCTAATTTTAGATTTATAGGTTAGGGTTTATGATCTCAAATACTAAGCCTTCACAGATTGTGTACTATGAAAACCAAAACAACCTTAGAAATATTTTAGCACAAGTGTTCTGTTATTCAAAGTGAGAAACTGAGACCCAGAAAAATTAAGGGACTTGCCCAGGTCACCAAAGAGGGTAGTAGTAGAACTAGAAGTAGAGATAGCTTTGTGAAGTCTAACTCCCAGGAAAGAAATCTTTTTCTTTTTCACTTGTCTGTTTTCTTAGTGCCTTAGTCAGTTTGGGTGGCTATAACGAAATAGCAGCTGAGTGGCTTTAAACAACAAACATTTACTTCTCACAGTGCTGGTGTAAGATCAAGATGCCAATAAATCTGATTTCTGGTAAGAACCCATTTTCTGGTTTGTAGATGGAGATTTTCTCTGTATTATCACATAGTGGAGAGCAGAAAGAGGGGAAGCAAACTCTCTGATGTCTCTTATAGGAGCACTAATCCCATTCATGAGGGCCCCACTCATGACCTAATTGCTTTCCACAGACTCCATCTCCAAATACCATCACACTGGGTGTTAAGCTTCAACAAATGAAGTTTGGGGGGACACAAACATTCAGTCCGTAGAACTTGACCAATTTTATTTGTTTGTTTATTTACCTTCTAGGTTTGCACATATTGTGCATAAACATCTAAGGAAATATTTGAACATTTTATCTATGATTGCCATCTGTCAATCTTAGTCTTCTGTCCCTCCTCTTCAGTCTTAGAGGAGGGCTTATGACAGTTTCAATCGATAGGGTAGAATAGAATAGAACTGATGCTATGTGAATTCCAAGGCCAAATCATAAAAGACCATACGGAGTCACCTGTATTTACAGGAAACATTTGCTTTTGAAGCCCTGAGATGGCCATGTTGGATATGCTACATGTGAACCCTCTGGTTGACAGACCCAGATAAGCCTGTCCTTTAGTGATCTCAGTCTCAGCTATTCCAGCACCCAAAGTTTTGGCTTTTTTGGTGCTAAGTGAAAAGCACAAATCATAAATCTTCCAATTTATGGCTTTCCACAATTTTCAAGTATTCTACAGTAAATTAGGTGGATATGAGAATAAGCAACACATTATTTTAGAATACTACTAAAACTGGTATTTTAGGTATTGGTAGTACAGATGATTTTTATCTATCTTTAATTAAAGTGTCAAAGATAAATGTTCATTTATTTTCTCTTTCTCTCTGTCTCACACACACACCTTTTTTTTTCCTACCTCTCTTCCTCCTCCCTCACTATACTCCTGCCCCAGCCCCTGAGTTAGAGCCTATATTTCCTGTGATGACTCTCAGAGACCCAGGCAGTAGTAGCATAAACGTATCTTGTGCCACATTTTACACTTAGAAACCTTGCCTGGTGACGTGGTGCCCCTGCCTTCTCTCAACTCCTTCCATTTGGTTGTTTTCATATTTGAGATTAAAGATGCATTTCTGATATTAGTCATCATTACTTATATCATCTAAATTGTCTCCAAGGAAAACGTATCCTTTTGGCAAGAAAGAAAAAAAAGCACTAAGTATTTTGAAAATTTGAGTTATAAAATAACACATACAGAATTATCCTAGTTTTCTTATACATACATAGTGATGAAAATAAAATAACATTTACATTAATGCTGATGTATGCAAGGCATTGTTGTATATGTATATTCATTGTTTTGTTTATTATTTCAAAGATCCTATGAGGTAGGTGGTAGCAGTATTCTCTAGTTTACAAATAAAAGAATTGCAGGACAGTGAAGTTAAGGAACAGACAGCAAGTGACAGAGTAAGAATTCAAATTCATATAGTCTAGTTTCTAAGTCTATGTTCTTAACCACTACTCAGTTTTATTTATTAGTAAGTCCCCAGTCTAAATCTCATTCATTCTTTTCTTCATTCAAAATTTTTTATTTGATATTGTTTGAACATTTTTCTGTGCTAGGCACTGCCTGGCCATATCCACCTCTCAATCTCAGTTCCATATTTAGGAGTTCTGATTCCCAAGACATAGGCATAGCTCTTTCCATTTGATAAAAATATAAAAATAAAAGTTTAGTTCAATAAATATTCATTGTCTACCATGCACTAGGCAAAGCCCTGGAGATATAAAAGAGAACAAAGCAAATATAGTCTTCATATTCTCATGGGGCCCATGAATTAATGAGAGGAAACCATAAATTTAGTGCTGTAAATCCTGAAAGGGCACTTGGAGCACAGAGGAAGAGGCTCTAACACAGTTTCCAGTGAAGTCTTTCAAAAAGAAGTGATGTCTAGGAGACTGATTTCTGGTATGACAACAGGAAGAGCTCTGCAGACCCGCTCTCCAGTGAAACTGGTAAAAAAATTATAAAACAAAACAAACAACCATGTAAAGCCTCTGGAAATTGTCCTAAGGATCAGATAAAATGTGGCACAGGATACTGTTAAATCAATGGAGAAACATCTATTCAAGAAAATCTATTAAAAACTCCATAAGAAAGATTAGACTCTGGCATTTGAACTTAGATGCCTCCTCCCTTCCTACTCCTAGCTCAGAGAAACATAAACTGCATGCCTAACTTGTGGCCAAAACACAAGACATCCCCTCCCTCCAGCTCCCAGTCAGGGACTTTCTTCCTAGGAAGTGTAGGATGTCAGCATGTCTCATCCTGACCCTACCTACCTGTTGCTGAGGCTAAGTCTTGGATAAGTGCAATCAAGAGGTTGAGACTCCCATCTTCCATCCAGTCCCCACTAATGGAATGGAAGCTATCCCCTGGGTGTGGCACTGCTGAGAATGCTGAGGCCTTAATCATCCTTGCCCTGGCTTTTGGGGAATGGTTTCACAGCATGAGAAGTAAGCTGAGAGGACCTTCAGGCTGTTTTTCCCTCCTCCACCTTAATGTCAGCTCCTGAAGCAGAAGTGTCACTCAGAGAGAAGAATGCTGTTGTTTCCACCCACAGATCCAGAGCCCTAGTTCCAATGTTTTTGCCTGAGAAGAGAAGCAAGCCATAAGACATATATCTTGTAATATTTTACCAGTTGAACTTGTTTCATTTACATCAGAGCATGGAGCAGTTCAAGCCACTGTTGCTCCAAATATAGTGGAAGTTGTGGTGAGGGCATTTGGAAAGCAATTCATGGGTTTGGTAAAGTTAGCAGTTAACTACTGTCTGGTTGAATTATTGGAGAGCACCAGAGAGGGAGTTAGCTGGGAGGAGCCCTCTTGGGGTCAGAACAAATATCAAACACTGATGATGGGAACCATTCTTTCACTAGAACCCAAATTTGATCAAATTAGTCTACAGATCAATTAATGACCAAGAGTATTGTTGGAAATAATAGACCAATCAGCTAGCAATTAGAGGAGCCTAACAGCTGACTATAGTCATAGAAAGACACTAGGAAAGCTCTATCAAAACCATTGTCATCTTAGGGTGTCTGTGGGCATATCAAAAGATGAGCATCCCTGAGGGGCAACATCAGAAGAATAATGCTGGAAGAAGAGAAATAAACTTCACTAAAATAAGCCAGCCAATCACTAAACCAACAGGCAAATAATAACACGCTCTGGAAGTGGAGGACACAATAACCAGAGTGGCAACAACATATTATTTGAAATGTTTAGTTTCCAACAAAAAATTACAAGACATGCAATAAACAGGAAGGAATGATCCATACCTACACTGGTTGGGGAAAAGCAGGCAACAGAAACTGTGACAGTGGCCAGATGCAGGATATCACAGATGTAGGATATTCAAAGTACCCATTATACATATATTCCAATAGTTAAAGGAAACCATGACTGAATAAGTAAAGGCGAATATGATCACAATGTTGCATCAAATGGAAATGTCAATAAAGACATATTAATTATATTTTTAAAAAAGAACTACATGGAATTGTGGAGTTCAAAAGTCCAAGAACCTAAATAAAAATTTCACTAGAGGAACTCAAAAGTAGGTTTGAATTTACAGAAAAAAAGAATCAGTGAACTTGAAGAAAGATTGAGTGTATGCAATTTGAGGGATAGAAAAAAAGATTAAGAAAAACGATGAGTCAGCCTCAGAGACATGTGGGACACCATGAAGTGCACCAACACATATGTAAAAGGAGCAGCAAAATGAGAGGAGAGAAAGGCGAATAAAAAATGCTTAAATAAATAATGGCCAAAGACTTTCCAAATTTACTGAAAAACTCCAATGCACACATTGAGGAAGATAAAAAAAACTCCTAACTAGATAAATACAAAGATATTAACAAGTAGATTCGTCATAGTGAAAATACTGAAAGTCAAAGACAAGGAGAAAATTTTGAAAGCAGCAAGAGGAAAACGACTCTTCATATTTAAGGGAACTTCAATAAGATTAACAGCTGACTCCTCAGCAAAAAAAAAAGATAAAGGTAAGAAGATTGTGGGACAACACAATCAAAGTGCTCAAAAGAAAGAAAACCATCTCTTACTGACCAGCTGTTACAGGAAATAGAAAAAAAAAAAAGTAAAACAGTCAATCAGGAATCTTGTATCAAACAAATCTATCATTCAAAATTGAAGACGAATGTAGACATTCCCAGATAGACATAACCTGAGCAAAGTTGTACCTAACTGACCTTCCTTCCAAGAAATACTAAAGTGAGATCTTTAGGCTGAAAAAAAAAAGACTCCAGATGGTAATTAAAATTATACCAGAAAACAAAAAGCAATAGTGTAGATAATATGTAATTATAAATTATGCATAAGTATA